CTGCAGAGAGAGATAAATGTGATTTAGATTTTTATTTCTGTGACTATACGACCCACGGGGAGACACGAAATTAACAGCAGTCATCATTTCATTCCTCTGCTTTAAAGCATATCCTTTAGTTCCACAGCTGACGCTGCTAAAAATGACTTTTTTTTTGTGGATCTCTGAGAGCAGAACTTCAGTCTCTGAACTAGTTCTTCTTTTTTACTTTGCGATGTGACTTATGAATGGACACTTCCTGGTATGTGTGGCAGGAAATGTATATCCTTATATGGTGTTTTTGGGTGGTAATTATGCTAATCTCCTCTCCCCGTGCACGAGCACCTGATACGCATTCATCAGTTTACGCTCCTCACACTTTTCCTGAAGATAGAAGAGTTTGTTGAATCTGACGTGACATGTTCATATGAACCCTTCGTACGAACAAAAGAATGATAAATTTAGGATAAGAATACAAACATGTTTTTGCATGAGGCCCAATKTTCTCAGGTGTTATTAACTTTTCAATATTTTGTGGGTTTTTTCCAGTGGCAAATTTGCATTTTACAACTTAAAAAACCTTGCAAAATTCCATTTTATATATCTGGTTGTAATATAGCAGAATAGGTAAAAAGGCCAGACGGGGGGAGTACACTCACAAGGCGTGTCTGCGTGTTTTCGTTTGATGCTGGGATTACAAGTTGTCCCACTGCAGGGTTTCTCTCGGTGCCATTTGGCTGTGAGCACGAGCAGATAAATGAGCACGCACAAACGCGCCACTCTCTTCTGAGGTATTTTTTCTCATTGTGCTCATAAAGGTAAAGCTGTGAGAGCTTTGAGAGTCGGCCTCTGCGGTTCGCCTCAGTCGGGCAGCGCCGGCATATCGTAAATCTGATATTACAACACAATTACTCTGCTGCTGTATTGTTATTGTACACAGGACGAGTGAGTGGGTAACAGAGGCCTGCTGGAAGCTTTGTGTGAGGTAGACGTGTCAGTTTGAAAGCCTTGTGGTGAAAAATATACAGAAAATAAAGGAATAATAGATGGATTTTGATTTCCCATGTGTCACCATGTGACAAGCGGTATAATGTGAAACGTGCTGTGTGTTGGATGAACATTCACCTTATACCACATGCAATATCTTGCAAAAAAAATGCAATGACTGTTTCCTCTGCAGTGAGGTTAGGGTGCTGCCACTTTGTTGGCAATTTGGCTTCTTTACAGCCAAAGCAAATAAAAAGATATTTCCACATACTCTCTGAAGTCTACTTCATTCTTGTAGTGGTTTGAGCTTTGCCAGTGCAGCTTACTTGTCTCTGATCTTGTTTGTGACGCTCATGGACAGGATCTCCAGACACTGTTGTAAATAGAACTGCATCCAGTTTGGGAACTCCAGTCTCATTGTTTTTTTTCAGATGATGGAGTTCTGTTGGCACCTTCAGCATGCACTGGGACTGTTTGCAGCCAAGTGAGAAGCGGCTGGGATGAGAGTCATCTCTAAGTCCAAGGCCAATAGTTCAGAAAAACAGTGGAAGGCTCCCTCTGGGGTCGGGAATGAGTTTCTGCCTCAAGCAGAGGATGGAAGAGTGAATTGTGGCTTTTGCTCGGTGTCTTTTGTGGTAAAGATAAAACTGAGCCAAAAGCAAAACTATTGATTTACAGRATTTTACAGTCTCACCCGTAGTAAGGAGATATGAATCATGATTGAAATATTGAGATTCCAAATACTAGTGGCTGAAGAGAGTTTCTTCGGTAGGGTGGCCACAGTTGACCTTAAACCTGACTCACACTGTGCATTTTTTTTTCTTGCTGTCATAAACAACCAATACTAAAATCTAGACGGTAGTAACCTATATGATGCAAGATTTAATTGGCTTTTTTGCTGCAGGAAAATTGAATATGTCATTAATTTCCAAACTAGCTTTAAAGATTCGCTGAGTAGTTCAGAGTAGAGCTGGTGCTTCTCTGCATTGAGAAGAGTCAGCTGAGGTGGTTCAGGCATGAGTATGATTCCTGGTTGCCTTTCACTAGTGGCATGTCCTTCTGAGAGGAGACTCAAGACCCAATAGACAAATCTGGCTTGGGAACACTTTGAGATGACCTCGGAAGAGCTGGAGACTGTTGCTGGGGAGACAGATGTCTATACGTTTATCTCATTCTGCTGTCTCTGCAACCTAATGATGGTTGGATGGATGGATGGATGGATGGATGGATGGTTGGTTGGTTGGTTGACTTGATGGTTGACTTGTTGGTTAGTTCAATTGTTGGTTGGTTGGCTTGTTGGTTGGTTGGTTGGTTGGTTGGTTGGTTGGTTGGTTGGTTGGTTGGTTGGTTGGTTGGTTGGTTGGTTGGTTGGTTGGTTGATTCGATGCCTGACTTGTTGGTTAGTTCAGTTGTTGGTTGGTTGGTTGGTTGGTTGATTCGATGCCTGACTTGTTGGTTAGTTCAGTTGTTGGTTGGTTGGCTTGCTTGCTTGTTGGTTGGTTGGTTGGCTTGCTTGCTTGTTGGTTGGTTCATTTGTTGTTTGGCTCAATGGTTACTTGGTTTGTTGGTTAGTTGGCTTGTTGGTTGGTTCGTTTGTTGTTTAGTTGATTGTTTGGCTGGCTCAGTGGTTGGCTTGTTGGTTGATTCGTTTGTTGGTTGGTTGGCTTGTTGGTTGGTTCGTTTGTTGGTTAGTTGATTGTTTGGCTGGCTCAATGGTTGGCTTGTTGGTTGATTCGTTTGTTGGTTGGTTGGCTTGTTGGTTGGTTCGTTTGTTGGTTAGTTGATTTATTAGTTGGTTGATTGGCTCGATGGTTAGCTTGTTGGTTGGTTCGTATGTTTTTGGTTGGTTTGTTGGTTGGTTGGTTGGCTCGATGGTTAGCTTATTGGTTAGTTCGTTTGTTTTTGGTTGGTTGGTTGGCTCGATGGTTAGCTTGTTGGTTGGTTCATTTGTTTTTGGTTGGTTGGTTGGTTGGTTGGTTGACTGGCTGGCTCGATGGTTGGCTTGTTGGTTGGTTTGTTTGTTTTTGGTTGGTTGGCTTGTTTTTTGTTGGCTGGTTCATTGTTTGGTTGGTCCATTCGTTTCTGGGCAGGACTTTGGTCTCCAAATGTAAGGATTGCTACAAATCAGAAATCATTTTGTAAAATGATACTTACTTCAAGCAAAAAGTACATAGAAATCTAAATAACCATGGTATTCTCTTGTTTTTAAAAACACACATCAGCCAGCTGCAGTTGTGGTTGCTTGTATGAACAACTTGTCTGTTTTGAGCAAAATAAATAATTTGTCCTTCCTTCTGTCTGCAGGTTTGGAGCAGCACTCCCTCATGGCATGGCCAGAGACTGTTGTGTTCCTCTGCTGCTCCTGAAGGTAAGCCCCGCCCCTCCGCTAACACTTCTTACCATATAGTCATAAATCCCAGACACTGGTCTTGTAGCAGTTTATCTTTTTGTGTGAGGGATTTCCATTTAGAGTAGAAACTTCCTGTCTCTGCACCTGCTTTTGTTTCCCATCTGAGAAAAATGAAATTTGCTTCAAAGATGAATTACGCATTTATATGACAGCCGAGGCTCATTTGGAGCTCACAGCCAGGTGGTCATTAATATGGAATTTGTCCCTGGCATCTTTTTGTCTGTGACGGGGAGTGTGAATGATGGAAAGGAAGAGAGAGACCGGTTAGCCGAGAGACGGAGACAGCAGCATTTCAGACGAGGATGATTTGATTTGGAAGTGAGTTTAATAGCTGTTGGACCGTAACAGAGACAGGCTGAAAATCCTCAGTGTGTCTGCGATGGCAGGATAATAGAGGAGGAGGAGAATGGGTGCAAGAGAAGAACTCGTCTACCTGGGCCAAGGGTTTCAAGGCGTCATCGTGATAAAAGGGGAAAAAAATGGCTGTGGAATAGAATAGATCTCTCTGCTTTTGAACACAAAGCCATGAAAGGAARCTGCCAGCTGATGTTCCTGCAGCTCTCTCGTGAGTTCAGCCAAAGATTTGCTGATTCACTGCAGCGCCTCTGTGGTTTTAGGTGCAGCAGCAACAGGGCAGCTTAGACCACCTCCTCAACGGGCTCACAGCCCTCTGATTCATGGCTCTGTCATTTGAGTCCATTCAGCATGATAATACTATAAGCTGTGCAGGCTCTTTATAAATATAGTTCAGTTTTGGGCCAATAGAGCTGTATTACAGAGCCTTTTTAGCATGCAAGAAAGCATCTCTGGGGGACTATTGGAGACAAAAATATCCCTTTCCTATGGCGGTGGTAAAATACAGCATGTAGAGATATAGCACTAAAAGGAYGCAAAATCTCAGTAATGAACTTGATAATAGGGTTGCAGGTGCATTCTGTTAATCCTCTGTGCTCTGATTAATTTTATCATTTTTTCTTTTACTGCTATGATGATCTTTTATGGCTTTAATAAATTGCGATGTTCCCAAAATGTCATTTTGATTGTCAGTCTCATTTAGAGACCTGTTTGCTATGGGGTGCCGTTTGTAAAGTTACACAGTCAAAAATTACCACCAATATTTTTTGTTTTATTTAGCCTTTTATAAGAAAAAAGGAACAGATTTATTTTTCAAAGTCAGTTTTTCGCCATATGATTCATACATTTATAAATGTCATAGTTAACAAGCTAAATATTTAGCTTGTAACTTAAATATTTAGCTCGCTACCTAAAATATTTGTTACATATTTAGGTGGCTAGCTAAATATTTAACTTGCTAGCTAAATATTTAAGTTACAAGCTAAATATTTAGCTTGT